GAGGCTGGGTGTGTCCCAGGAGGGTCTCCCTACCCCAGGGTCACCCCACGGCCAATGAAACAGAATAAATAATTTTCTGCTATAAGCCATGATTCGAACCTGGGACCGTGAGCACCGGAAGCTTAGTGTCCTACCACTGAGCTCCCCCGCTCTCTAAAAATAGAACATAAATAGTTATTAAGTGTTCAAAATTCTAAAATTTTAATTACATTACTCCATAATGATTATTTAAAAATTGTGTTTATTAACACTAATCATATTGACAACCGGTAGCGGCGTAGTTCGGTGAGTAAGTCATTGAGCTCCTGTGCTCAAGTTCCTAGGTTCTAGTCTGGTTGTGCCAGATAATTATTTATTATGTTCCATCAGCGTTGAGTTGATCTTGGTATCAGTGGTGTCTAAAAAGTGGGTACTCTTGATTAAAGAATCAATTAAGAAATCGATTGAGAGGGATCTCTGCCCAACACCTCCCTGCACAGTCGTAGATCTTGAAACATTACAGCCTTACAAAATACAGAACCCAGGGATTCTTGGGACAAGGCTCCCCATGGGTTCTAGTGGTATGGGTTTATTTTTTAAAATTCTATCTACTACTATTTGGATTTCACTCAAGAATTGATTGATGCTGTTGCATTAAGTGACAAGTTGATATAAAATCATATGTAATGAATCATTTTTTTACATTATGAAACAGTTTCTTTGCTAAGTATTGTATTCCAATCTACTTATATCATAAATTTACAATTATGATAATTATTTTATTTGATTCGTTTGACAAAAACAGATCCCTCTTTCTTAATTCCTTTAAATTTCCATTTTGGAAATTTAATATAACAAGTATAACTATGATAAATATTTCCTGAAAAATTACGGATCAGGAATTCACTCCATCAATCATAAAACTTTTACAGGTTTAATGTTTACTATTTTGAGTTAGACCTGGACAGAATTTATTTGAAATAATATGTCCGAAATAAATCGTTAAATTACCCCAGTAATTAAGGAAATAATTTATTTCATGAAATAACTTGAGCATTATTTCTGACATAAATTATTATATTATTTATAAATTATTAAATAAATTATTTCAGGATTAATGACAATATTATTTTTGAAATGATTATTTCAGACATAATGTTCTATAATAATCATTCTGATAGTTGCAAAAGGTATTAAAATACCTATAATAAAAATCCTATTGTTCTCTCTTAAATTTTATGCTAGTAGACTTAAGGTATTATATTTACTGCTATTTGAGACACTTTAATCTTAGGAGAGGCCGAGTGTGCTCGGCAGAAATTTAATTTTTCTTATACCCCTTTTCATTTTCTACAATTAGACGGACTTAAGGCATTATATTTACTGCTGTTTAATTTTCGTTTTCTGCAATTAGACGGACCTGAGACATTATATTTACTGCTGTTTGAGACACTTTAATCATTTTAGAGGCCGATTGTGCCCGACAGCGACTTCATTTGTCTTATGCCTCTTTTCGTTTTTTACAATTAGCTGGACTTGAGGCTTTATATTTACTGCTGTTTGAGACATTTTAGATCTTCTACTACTTATAGGGGATAAAGTTTTAAATTTACTATTTTTTGAGCCATTTAAAGTTTTCTATAAGATGAGTGTGACCGATTGCCATTTCCTTTTCTTTATCTAGGCATTTAATTCTTCTGTGGCTCATAAGTATTATATATACTATTGTTTGAGCGATTTCAAAGATTTTTAAAGGTCTAGTATACCATTTTTTTTTTTTTTTTTGGTTTTTCTACTCATCTCAAGGCTGAAATCCGTCCAACAGCAAAAAAAAAAAAAAAAAAACCTAAAGAGGGAATAAGAAAAAATGAAATTGGTGTCGGGCACACTCAGCCTCTACAAAAATTAAAATGTCTCAAACAGCAGTAAATGTCCTCATGACCGTCTAATTTGAGAAAACTGAAAATAATTACAAAAATTATTCTTATAAAACTATATACACTGTTTTCATTCCAAACATTGCGATCGTCATTTTTTTTAAACACATATGTTAATATTTATAATAATTGTAAGATATTTGTAAATCAAAATTCCGTCAACTTTTTAATTTTCATAATTTATATTTTTTTTAATCTGCAAATTTTACAATTAAAGGCTGATGTATAAGTATATCGTTAATATCAGCCACTAGGGAAGGGCACCCACCATGCATGTGCGTGATATTGTCCAAACAGCTATTTCAGCAATTGTTTTTACTTGAAAGGAAATATTTGGCTGCTCTAATATAACGCAAATTAATCCTTTTTTGTTTTTTGCGTCTTTTTTTTTAATTTGGGAGAATATGATACAATTCTTGTAATAATTTTAAATGAAAGAGCAACTGAATTCTTAGCCATCTAAATACATCGTCTGTATTAAAAGAATATTACAAAAGTAACTATAGCTTTTATACTTCGTGTAACAAATAAGAAGACACTGACATCGATGGTACGTAGTGTTACCCAAGACTAAGACTGCCTGTCTGTTGCAAGGCCAAGACCAGGACTAGTAAAAAAATATCGTTTTTGTGAATAACAACGAAGGCAAAATAGTTACTAATGCTTGACAATTTTACTTAATATTCGCCAAAATTGGTCTTGGTCTTGCACTTTGCAAGACCAAGATCAAGGCCGCCTAACTGTTGCAAGACCAATACCAGGATTAGCAAAACAAAAATGGATTTTTTAAATCAAAATTAAGGCAAAATAGTTACTAATACTTGACAATCTTAGTTACTATATGTTAATAATTCGTATAACCAATATACTTTTGTATTTAACTCCTCTAATTTTTCATTCGGACTTAGTTAGGCTTCTCCTATTTAAAAAATTACAGTAATATCTCTATAGTAATAAGCTAATAAGTAACTGCAAGACTGTTGCGAGACTCTTGCGCAAGACCAATACCACGACCAAGACTGATTTTGCAAGACCAAGAACGTCTCGGTCTCGCATTCGGGTTAAAGTTGCTCTCAGTTACTTTAGTCAGTCCATGTGGCAGTTTCTAGATCTTTTCTTTCTTTTTTCTCTCCGACCTTTCTTTAAGTGTCTCTGGTGCCGAATTACTTTCATTTCTCTTAGACGTGGGAAAAAAATATCTTTCTAAGTTTCATGTTCAGTTAGCATAACAATAATGCAAGTTAAAAACACTGTATATATATATATATATATATATATATATATATATATATATATATATATATATATATATATATATATCAATTACTACAAGATTGATACAATCTATTGTAGGAAATATTTGTTTATAACATGTGATATTTTCTATTGAAGCTAGCTGATTGATTGCTAGCAGTGAGGGTGGACCTGTCCGATCCTGACAAGTGATTAGATGGCACAGACTACGCAATCCACCAAAATTATTTTAATGTTTATTTAATTAAGCCGATCTACGTCACCAATTGTCGCCGAATTTCACCTCCTTTTTCACTATCACTACACCTTTAACTGAGCCACAATTCACATAAAACAGTTAATTATTATCAATTAAATCAACAAGCAATATAGACTCGATGTTACACCAATCCATCGACTCTCCGAATATTATATTACATTCATAAGAATATCATTAATAATGATAGCATAATACGATCTTAAGATTGTTGTCTTCTTTTCTTGTCTCTTTTATCGTACTTGAAGTAAAAATTGAAAGAAACTACTTCATTAGAAAAAATATTCGCAGATTATATTATACTATTAACGAAAAATGATTTTAAATATTCTAATAAATTGAAAACATAAAACAGCATCTGATAATAAATGATAGGCGGTAAGCCCTCAGCTAGACCCAGTAGGTGCTGCTACCTCTCGGCCGAACGACAAACTACCACCGCCATCTTTCTCCCTACTCTGTAATAATAATTGCTTTGTTTCTCTACCAGACGATATAATATGGTTGGTATTGATATATTTTCGTAAAATAAATAAATATGTGTATTATTATAAAATTAAATATTAATATAAAAAAATGATTAACAGAGAGCAATAAACGTAATTAATGGAATGAACGGCTATTCTACATTCTTTAAAGAATAAAAAAAAAAAAATATATCATTTGGAAGTAGCAAATAAATATATTACGATTTTTTTTAAAGCAGTGAAATTGAAGTTATTTAATTCTTTTTTTTTTTCTCGAAAAAAAAACTATTACAAGTCTTGAAGTTGATTAACTAAAGGTAATTTATCAGCCATAATTTAAAAAAATTTAAAATAAATTAAATATATTTGCAGTTTTAACTAACTTACTAAACCTATTTAAACTAATTGCAAGGATTGGTACTTCTATTTATTGAAATTAAGCGTATATTATAATATTACAATAGTAATAAAAAAACACAAAATTGTAAGCAATATAGTTGTTCATATCAGGTGATATCTATTATTCATTTATAGTTTACATCTATCCATTTTTCATTACTACTAACAATGTGAGATATATAATTATTTCTTATAAAAAAGATTGGGCTATCGTGACAACTACCTAAATATTGCACATATAAGTAAGTACAATTTCCATATTGTAGTACCATCTGATTACTGACCGATGTACGTGTTCGAATTATTCGCGCGGTCCAACTAGTCATGAATTGTCCTTGCTATACAATGCTTTTGGAATAATGTTACTCTATACTTCATTGGATAATCCATTGTAAGATAACAAATATTGTATATCCACGATGTTGTTGACTTGGCTAAATCCAGGTCGTCCAAAAAAAATTCCCGGTTAAATTAAAGAACGGTACTTCTAGTTATATAATTTGGCAAAGATTAAAAAAAATACATTCGATGGTGCTTACGCACCTGTTGCTGGGTTTCTTTTTCTTTCTTTTTGTTATGAATCGTTGATGTTTAAAAAAAGAAAAAATTGGGTGCAAAAAAATACGCAAGTGAATAAAAAAACAGGTATTATTACTAAAATGTTCAATTATCCTGTCATGGTGTAAAATTAGAATTATACTACTATTGATGTTCGTTTTCCACCATGAACTGTTGTCTCAGATGCCTGTTGAGAGAAGATGGCCGCCATACGCACTTTTGCCTGACGGAGGTTGGCACCTCCATGCCCCGTTAGATCGGCCGTGGGTTTGTAATTATCTGTCCTCATCTTTAGCAGTTTATGGAAGGATAATGTCTGGTCGGTATCCCTTGTCGGCATCTTCTACCATTATTCGCCCCTTGACGAATCTAATCGCCGCTTGCGGAACCTTGCAGGACACAGCTAATTTTCGAAGTGGCTGTGTTTTAAGTAAATTTTGCACCACCATATGGTGTATCATTTTGTTAGGTTGAATTCCTCCCTGAAGTATAAAAAATATTTTTTGAAATGTAGATTCAGCAGATATGTGATATAGTGCGCTTCCACTTCTAATTTGATTGGTAATTGGAATAAATATTAGAAATAATTATGTAGGCAATGGATAGAAAAATCCATTTATATTTGTATTTATATTACTTTATATGTACTTCTTTTTGTGTCTGTTGCGTATTATTTTATTTCAAAGGGTTCTCAGACTTAAAGCCACTGCGTACAAAACGTTCGTCATTGATAAAATAAATATCTATCAAGTTAGGCATAACTTCCTCGTACATTTGTGTCTTGCGCGAATTAACATTTTATAAATATTTATTATAGTTATAATTTTTTAAAAAATTTACGTAGATAAAAACTAAAATATTTTTTACATTTTTGTTAGTTGAAGCCTCATTTTTTAGATAACTGCGCCTAATATCTGAGATTTAAGTTAATTCCAATAAATTCTTAAAATCTTCAAACACAATGTCTGCCATCGATTGCCGCATAGAGTTAGTGTAAAAATTCTTCTCATTCTGCAATCCAGCCTTCTGCTATACATTTTAATGTAAATTCTATTGTATATGTATGTATATATATTTTTTTTCTATTCTTTTTTTATTATTGTTTTTTAATTTATTATTATCATTCATTTACTTTACAAACCTTAAACAATTTAATTGTTACAAATATCATATATCTTTAGGGGTGTCTTTTGAATGAGATTACACTCCCACTCTGCCAAATTAAAAATTCTACTTATTGTTAAGACATGCACGTATGGCTGAGTAAGCCGATCTGGGAATAAATGATGTATATGTAATCATTGATTATGAACTATGATTATGATTATGGACTTCAATGGGATGAACTAAGAATAGTAAAATCATGTATACAAACTCTAGAGGGATTAGGGGTTCTATAAAAGAGAAATGAAATAAATAGTTTATAATTTATCATTAAAATCAATAATATAAATAATAAATTCAGTGAATTATAAACTATAAATTTAAATATTATAATTTAATTTTTATCAAAATTAAATTGAAGTATTTAATTTCAAGCATTCACGTAAAGTGTTGGTTGTAAATTAGGACCTTTAACTTTCTGAATTTAAAATTCAAAATATAAGTCCTTATTGACCCCAATTTCACGCACGTAGACCTCCCTATTGAAATGAAGTCACCCCAGTATGGTACAGGTACACTATTATATCGGTTACCAGTTGGGAAGGGTTCGTTATAAGCCGGTTATTTTACATCTTTATATGTCTCAAACATTTAAATTAAATATTAACAATAATAAAATTAATATTTCGGTAATGGTGTATTGAAATATTATTTATATTTATTTATTGGTATGCAGATAAATATAGGTGGTCATGTAAATTATATCTATCTATACATATGCACACACTTTTCCAATGTATTACATTAATTGTTATATGTGTTAACTTATCTTTAAGTTATTTTATTTTTATTTATTGTATATACTTTTTGATTATCATTTAGTCGTTATTTGCTTCTTTTTATTTTATATTTTTATGTATATATAGTGTAAATGTGGTCTTACCTTACTATAACTCACTTTAACTGTTGTACAATAGACAGAATGTTATATTACTATAATATAAAATTAATAATAAAAAAATTATAATAAAATATAACAGTTTATTTCCATAGTTGTGAATTTCATTTAATTAAATAATATATGCGATGGTCAGTATATATTTTAATAATTTTTAAGTGGTTCATTAATCATTGAAAATATTATTAAGAGTTACAAACAAAGATACGGGCATCAGGAAAAGAGGCACGTGAATTACTTGCTTGAGTACATTCTTATCTTTAAATAAATCAAAACATGGAATAAAATAAATGGAAAATTGTATTAAATGTATTAATATTTGGGTGGATAATATTTGGTTCCCAATGTTTCTCCTGCGCTGTAGATCTACATGAGGGCTAAAAAGAACGGGCTATAAAAAATAAAATAAATGGTATGGTAGGTATACAAAAATAAGATACAAATTAATGTTAAATTAGTAAAATATACTAGATACAAGATAATAGATCATTTATTGGAGATGAATAAAGACAAGTAGAAAAAGAAAGGAGTATGTATAAAAAGAATTCATTAAACGGCATAATAAATTGAAATGCAAACCGTAATGAATGATGATACCTCACATATTATGTATTTGATATTTTCCACATCTCCCCGACTAACTCCTCCTTAAATAAGTACTATAAATATTAAATAATATAAAATGTCAATAATTTCTATACATACATGAATATAAAAATATACTTTCCCTCATTTATTAAATTCAAACTGAAAATTTCGTTTATCTCTTTACCTTCATCTTAATTTATATTAATTATATGATCAACTAAGGTTGTTTTTTTCATGTTTATTTTTTAACAATTACATATATAAGTACATACAATAAAATTTACATCTATATCTTTGTGAAGCTTTATCCTTGCACTACAATAAAAAAACGAAAACTGATCAACAATGAAAATTCCAGGCGATTTATATACTTTCCTACCTCTCAAAAATACTTGAAGTATGCTATACAAGTTCATCAATATTAATCAGACAGGATGAATTATATTAATCATATTTTTTTAGTTAATAAATTGTTTCATTATAATTAATGCCATAATTAATTAAAAAAATATGATTAAAAATATTTTTCCTTAAATACCATATACGTACGCTTCTTCTTAATATCAATCTATTGTTGCATTGCGATTAAGGAAAATATATAAAAGACTAATGAATATTTTATCTTTTTTTTCAGTAATAGTTATTCCCATAAAACATAAAAAGGAATACAATAAATCAACTGTAAAATTTTAATCAATTCACTAGTCTAAAGTCGATATAAACAAATAAACTATAAAACTAAGTACAAAAGCCTTGTCATGGGCTTCTACTGTTAAATTCAATAAATTTAATTATTCAGTTCATTCTTGTCTTCAATTTCGATACAAATTAATTTGTATTAATAAACAATTCAAGAGTTTATTTAAATGCGTTTGCTACGATTTATTTTGTGTTGAATGTTAAACAATTCGCATAGAATAAATGCATAAATTGAATCGGGCTCCTATTTTAAATATCATAAATAATAAATATACTGGCGATGAAACTAGATATGGAATAAATTGTTGCAGATATGTATTCTCCATATGCAAGTAATCATATTAGGTCTATGGCCATCTTACGGTTTGAAATATTATCAATAGTTACGATTTATTTTAATAATATTTAATCGACTATTCTTATTATTAGAAATACAAGATAAAAGAATACAATTGTCAAATAATTTCAAACAATAACTTTGATAAGTAATAGAGCGTTTTTCATTATTGCTGATAAAACATGGTTAAAAATTACAAATGATTTATCAGTTGTATTAATCGTTTGATTAAATCAATGAAAAAATAATCAAAATCAAAAATTAAAAAAAACAATTAAATTATATACAAAATAACAATTACAATTAATAAACAATAATAAACATGTCGGTTAAAAAGTAAGAAAATATAAACCTTAAGAATTGTGCCAACAAAGATATAATTTTTTTTTCAATTATTTTATTCATTTTAACTGATGTTCATTATGAAACTGAACATCAATTAAAACAAAAACTCTTTTTAGAGAACAAACGGAGTTATGAATTTAGTAATTCGATAAGAATGAATCTATTACAAACGTTTTAAGGTTTATTTATTTTGTTTATCGATTACATAGACTAATGTTGGAAAAAGAACCCTATGACAAACTTTGTAACCCAGTTTAAAGTTTTGAGACTGAACCCAGCGAAGCTGGCCTGCAAAGCTTATATAAACTTGTGCGGGTCTATCCGGCGATACAATATTTCTATGTTATATCTTCCTATTGAATGCATACAAAAATATTAAATAAATAAAAATCTACGTTTGCCATTGTTATAATGCACAAGTTAAAATGTGGCATTCAGTTTTATCTGATATCCAACAACGACAAATGTTACTCGAAATAATCGGAACAAAAAATAGTCAAAAGGTAAAAAAAATATCTTATGAACTAATATTTAATAATGTTGATTAACATAAAAATAAAGTTTTTTATTTTATATTTGTATTACATTTTTTTTTTCATGTTTAGATCATACTTGGAGTTATGAAAAATAAAATACATTGTTTTCAACTGTATTTTCTTTTTTAAATAATAAAACGAGTATTTTTCTACTAAAAGTATTTGCATATTTTCTTTCACAAAAAGTGTATTTTATTATTTATTATTAAATACATAAAATATATTATCCAATCGTAGGTAGTTTTCGCTTGAAGTGCTGTAGCAAGGCTGATGGTTAGCACACTCCCCCGTGAATATGGAGTTAAATTATGTTTCAAGGTCGATTTTTTATATTTAATTATTTATTTATTATTAGTATAAAAAAATTGTTATATGTATATATAATGATTAATTTGTTATATTTGTAATAGTTGAATATACAATTAATTAGACTTAAAATTAATTATGCAGGTGTCCAGTGTCTCGTCATACGAAAGAGTAGAAGTGTAAATTTTATTAAATTAACAAATGTTAGGAAAAAAACAAAAGTTTTCATTTTTTTCATTACATTTGTTTTCAAGTACATTTTAGAAAAGAAAAAAAAAATCATGTAGTACTTTAGAAAATATTAAATATAAAAAAAATTGAGGTATGTTACTTTTATAATAAATTGTTCAGAAATAATATTAATTGAATTAAATAATTTTATCGCAACTTTATTTTTTGCTAAAGTCATAACTCCTTTTTTCCGCAAAAATAAACTTAAAATTTTAAGGAATTAGTTGTAAAGAGCCACTTCACTAGACTTAAGTATTTTGTATTTGTGTTTTAAATAAAAATACAAGATACTTTTGTATTTTGAATTTGAATTACTTTTTTTCTAAAACAATTCAAATACTTTGTATTTAAAATAAACTGTGTTATAAAAACACAAAATACTTGGTATTTTAAAATTAAAATACTTTTTGCCTAGGTTTGGTATAGATCACTGGCGGCATTCACAATTCACGGTAAGATTATTACTTCATGAGAGCGTTTAAATCGACTCGTAAAACCATTTTGACCATTTTTTTAATTAATTCTTTAAAAAAATGACTCAAAGTATTCAATAAGATATTCTAAAGGAACCGAAATGTTCGTTAATACCAATTATATACTTACATATATTCTACTAATTAATATGATCTTTATGACTTAGCAACTATTTAATTTTTTTAGGCGACCATCGATCATATACTCTACTGTAAATTAACCATAATTTACTGACAAACGAGATATTTATATAACATTTATTGCAACGATTTAATAATTTGCTTTATGAATTAAGCCGTTGTATTTCTGTAACAGTTACAAAGTAACTAAATGTAACCTGTTATTAAATTCGTAACAGGAGTATCTCGTTCCCTACTGGCGAGTTGTGGAAATATCCACGGAGTTAGTTTGAGCTTCTCTCGCTAGATGGAAGTCAATGTCCTCTGACTACTGTCTCGCTGTGATGGGTTCTCCATTTAGGTATTCGGAATTATTAACAGATATTAATATGTTATTTATTTAACATTATTTACATATATAAATGTGTTTTTAATTAATAAAATATTATAATTTAGGATGCAATTCATTCAAAATTAACTTTTTTTATCAGAATTAGCATTTTTATTTTTCACTTTAAACCGTATTGGAACAAACTATATTAAAATATCATTGGATAAAAAATTGAAACATTATAATATTGGATATAATTCGTTCATAACCTTAAAAAGAACTATTACTTAAATTAACATTTTTATTTTTTATTTTATATCGTATTGGAAACAAATAATAAACATGTTGGGAGCTCAAAATAAATTATTTTTTCTTAAATATTTCAAAAACTTCTGTTAAAGGCATCTTGGCTCTTTTATTTCCTGTGCAATGTAACAGACTAAATAAACTAAATATACTATACAATATACTTTAAATATATTCAAAATATTATAAAAGTTCTAATTTTTCAATAATCAAAAACAAGAAAAGAACTCTGCCCATGAATTCATAGTTACCTGATTGTATAACAATTGTAAATTAGATAGTCAGCTTATACTAAATTTGGACGTGATTAAAATATTTATGAAAACAAAATCATTTTAATAAAATAAATAACCTAATAAAAAAATGCTGTTATTAATCTTGTTTTAAGTCATTAAATAAACATATTCATTAAAAAATAGTCAAGTAATAATTATTATATAATTATGACAAACAACCTCATTCAGGTGTTTAATTTTTTTTTTAAGATTAATTTTTTATACATTTAATATGATTATTACATTTAATCAATAAATGAATAATGTTTACAACAAAAGACAACGTTACTCCTTTGTTATATTCCTCCTCAAATTATATTACATCAATCAAAAATCTTTTTAACAAAAAGGAGTTTATTTCCTCTTTATCATAATGTCTAGGCTTTAATGCCATTTTTAAATATTCTAAAAACACAACAGTCATAAATATCCATAAAATTTTTTTTAGCATACTACTCCATAATATTAATTTTAAAGTAATATCATAAAATTTAGTTGTTTTTTCTTTCTCTCTTCTCACAGATGTTTTAGATTTCTTTCTTTTCTTCATTCATATTTTCTTTGATAACTGATTTTCAGAACAGTATCAATATCCTTCATAGGAACAGACTACTATAACTAATAAAGACTGTAGCTAAGACCAAGTATTCAAAGCGCGCGATTATATATCCTCACAAAATCTTATGGAACTTTGTTAGTTTAAATTTAATTGTATTGAATATTCTATAATAAAAGCAGCACAGTTCCAGTCTAATGTTGTTTTAATAATAAATAGATAAATATAACTGCGATTGGTATAAAATATCTTTGTATATAATCATAGTTTAATATTTTATAGTTTACAATCATAGTTATACATTTTGTTTTCGCACCATGACTCTTAAATTTTATAAAATCCTAATGATGAATACCAGTTCGTTTAACGCGAAAATATTTATTGTTAACAAAAAAAAAAAAATTATATATTCAACGGAATTTTCATTATTGAGATTATTTTTCATTTTATTTTTAAATTCACACCTATTGGGATTATGCAATAATTTGACCTCCAGAAATAAGTAAAAATAAAATAACTTATTTAAGGCTAAATGAAATTCAGTATATATTTTTACAGAAGAGAAACAATATTATTCACCTCATAATTAAAACTTAATTAACATTGGCAAATCTGTCTCTGAAATTTCTGGTTTTCCTTCGAATATAATAGTTGCTATTATTTAGTTTACTTACGTATGGCTTCTGGAAAATCGCATTTATTTAGAATCGATAACTGGTGCAGAGTAACTGATCCATGTTATATTTTTTCTAGGAGAAATAAAATTAAAGAATATATTGTATATTTTATTGATTTTCTCAGAGGGTAATGTTGTTTACGCCGAGATGCTGGAAGTCAAAATACTAAAAAAGCGACTAATAATGGTGAAATTATGCAGGGACATTAACATAGGCGGTGAAGTGGCCAGCTGTGATAGAGAGCAGTCGAGGTGAGTAGAAGATGGATGGAACTGTGACCGGTTCTAATTACCTCCTACTTGAGTATTCACAGATATTCAAATAGGAGCGAGCCTCGGCTACCGTAGCACAAAAAACACTCTCCAGGACTTTACGGTAGCATTTCTTGAGTACGTCCACTTTTCTTCATTTTTGTTCGTTATTGGAGAAATTTCAAAAGTAAAAATCGGGAACATAAACGTTTACACACTCCCCTCTGGTCTTTTATGACAGAATAATCGTAACATTTCCGTTTTCCCTTTCATAGCGAATAGTAAGGACCGAGGGTGATAATTTCCTAGTGGCGGCCTAGACTATTGCCATGGGGAGGGGGCGGTAATTTGTTTATTCATTGTGGGCATTCAACAGTTGTGGCCTACACAATAGCCTCGTCTCCTTCTTTGCATAGCATGACAGGGTGTCATTCGGCCGCCGCTATTCAACAGAACTATGTCTCGAACTGCGACTGTTCCCTTCAGGTTCAGGTGCTAACGGATCGAGGATTAACAATATCAGAACGCATTAGTAAGTGCATTATGGCACTGCCGACAGGTGCACTGCCCGGAGAGAGGACGTCATCTCGTGCAATAAGCGATTTAAATATTTAAAGGGCGAGCAACTTGTTGCTCTCGATGTAAACCTAGTGTGGGATTAAACAATGATTTACAAGTTGTAGGTCAGTTCCGCTTAGCACAAAATCGGCTGTAATTTCTCCTCGAACCGACCGGGTCTCGGGATAGTAGCACTTCGGAGGAAGTGTTAACTTATGTTAGAAAACTTTCTTTTAATTGTAATAATGTAGGTGTAATGTATTGACAGTGAGGGGAAGGGGTGAGAGGGGAAGAGGGGGTAGGCGAATCGATAGGGTGGCGCGCGTTGCCAGGGAACTGGAGGGGGCGGGGCCAAAGGGCCGGCCAACCGGAGCCTGCCACGTCACGGAGCGGCGATCCGGGGGTAAGAGGTAGTGGGGGGAGCGGGGCCAGGGAGTGTGGTGCCTGAGCCGAGTCAGTAGTGAGCAGTGCGACATGCATAACACATGAGTCCCCGCGACGGTTTTTACAATTCAGATAAGAGTGAAGTGAGGGGGAGAGTGTAATGGCAACCACGACGTACATGCCCACTAGTACTGCCGTATCGTCCGAGCTGGACGGAAGTGGAGTCGGTGTGATGAATATAGTGAACGCGAGCATCGGGGGTGGCGGCTACCACACCAGCCCCTCGCCGCGAGGCAGCGATGGCGAAATGAAGTATATGCCTCCAAGTCAGCATCATCATCACCACCACCATCACCAGATGCCTACATCGCCTTCGCCAAACAGTCATCCAGTGTCTTTGTCCGCCGCCAACCCATGGGTGAGCCTACAACCCGGCGGAGGAGCGCCGGACCCCTGGGCCACGATGGGTATCCACAATCACCACGGACACCATCACCACCCACATCAGGCGCCTCAGGTGGATATCAAGCCGCACGAGATGCACCGGCACCAACAGGCCAGCCACGGCATGGCATCGTCCTGGCACGCGCCCGTAGTCTCATCGGCCCACTATAGCACCGGCCCGGGCTCGCCACTCCCTCACCATACCGCCTATCACGCGGCTATGAACGGTATGTTGGCCCATCACCAGCACCAGCCGCCCCAGCTCCATCACACGCTGAGGGACATGCAAAACCACAGCCCTTCTTATCACCAGAGTCACCCAGACCAGCCCTCGGGAGGAGAAGAAGACGCCCCGACGTCTGACGACCTGGAAGCCTTCGCCAAACAGTTCAAACAAAGGCGGATCAAACTAGGTTTTACACAAGCGGACGTCGGTCTGGCTCTAGGCACCCTCTACGGCAATGTCTTCTCCCAAACGACGATATGCAGGTTCGAAGCATTACAGTTAAGCTTTAAAAATATGTGCAAATTGAAACCTCTACTCCAGAAATGGCTAGAGGAGGCAGATTCGACGACGGGCTCACCGACTAGCATAGACAAGATCGCAGCCCAGGGCAGGAAAAGGAAAAAGAGGACGAGCATCGAAGTGTCTGTCAAAGGAGCCCTCGAGCAGCATTTCCACAAGCAACCGAAACCTTCAGCCCAGGAAATCACCAGCTTAGCTGACACCTTACAGTTAGAAAAGGAAGTGGTGCGGGTTTGGTTCTGCAACAGGCGGCAAAAAGAGAAGAGGATGACCCCGCCGAACACGATGGGAGGCCCTCAGGACGGGATGATGGAGAGCCAGATGGGACAGACCCCGCACGGACTCCACGGTTACCATCACCAAGACCACCTCCACGGGTCGCCGATGGCACCACACAGCCACAGCCATAGCCCGCCTATGTTGAGCCCACAAACCATGCCCAGCCACACCTCGCTCACCGCACACTAACGATTAGCCCAGTGGGATATTGAATACTCCAGACACATCTCCAAGATGCAGCTGAGAGGGGACTATGTCTGAGGAGTGGATCTAGTCTCCCAACTCTCCTCGACACAATATATAAATATTTACACACATATATATATGTAAAGGACTGTGATTGTAGAGTGTATATTATTAATATAAGTCTGGAGGTTTGGACATTTTCAGATCCTGCTGAGCGATAGCCACTCGCGGGGGTGGCCACATGAACTATTATTCAAACTGTAAATATACCGTGTTGTATTTCGTCATTGTGTGTAGTAACCGGTGGAATACATATGAACTCTGTTTATATACTCGATGTGTATTTTCTATACTGGGGAAGTTATGTGTTCTAATGAGCTAAATGGTCGAACTGTCATTGTAAATAGTTCCATAATAAATATATATATACTTAGTTGAAGACGCCATGCCGTGTACAAATAGTTAATGGTGAGTAGGAGACTGTAGATAGAGGAGAGGAAGAGTGTGTCCATTGTGGACTGTGGAGCACACTGGACGGGACTGCAGCACCAAGGTAGGACAAAACATGTTTCTATGCTTTTGTTCCGCCATAGCCATATCTGAAATGTGTTAACAAGAGTGTCCCTCTTACCAGTTCCATAGTGCAAGTGATCCAGTGATTACAGGCCGAGGAAACCGATGTGATTTGTGTCAGTAAAGAGTTATCCATTTTCTTTATTATTTATTTTTTTCTTTCTCTTATAAATCTTTAACTTACGGACCACTCGATTACTTTGTACAATTTGTTAACTGTACCCCTGCAAATGAACTTCTAACGACTCCCAGATTTAGATAATTATAGACATAGTTAAAATCTCCTCAGCTAAGGAATTGAGCCCAATATTTCACCATAACTCTAATCTTTGGATCATATTGCCGGTTAGAATTTTATTTGCAGTAGGTTGCGCATGCAGTATATAAATTTATAGTGTCCAATTATTTTTGACAAATCTGTTATACTACAATGTATACAAATTTATTTATAAAATATAAATATATATCTTTTTGATTTTGTGGATTGTGATCTCGATAGATTTTTCTCTTTATTTTAATTTTTCTCAATGTCATTAAGTGCGAATAGTTTTACAGAAGTAAACACAAAGACAAATGCCGAAAGTTTATAGATTTCGAATTCATGTCATTGCATGCAGTGGCATTCATTTTCATTATATTTTTTTTTATCATTATCATACATTATCAATTACATTTATATATTCTATATTTGTAAAACACAAGTTGTTGCTTCTTATTTGAATATATTAAACGAAATAAATTATTCAGACAGATCATGTTTACAGCATGAGGATTTAGTGCATGTTGTACATTGGGCATTTGTCTTGACACTGTTAACAGTTTTTGGGCATTCCACGTAACATCTAAGAAATTTTGTACAAAAAATTTATTTTAAATTAAAAAAAAATGAGTCAAATGTTATTTATTAAATTATTTTGTTTTCTTATATTATTTTTGAGATATATAAATTCATATATTATGAATACAATATAAGAAGGCTGCTTTATAATTATTGTTATTGTTTGATTCAAATGTTTTTATTTTATTATAGTTCTGTCTCAAAGATACCTTAGTTGAAAATTCGATTTGAAGTTTCATAATGAACAATCAAAGAACTGATTATTGAACTTTAATATTTAAAGAAAAAAGTTATAAAAAATATAACAAAAAAAAATATGTGAACAATATATACGTATGTAAATATAGATAATATAGTCGGCAAAGAACCCCTTTATTGTACAGATAGCTAGTGAAGCAAATATTCTTAATTATATTAATATTATTGTGTATTTGAAGTTTTTGTTTTCCATCAACTTTTTTTTTTCGGGGATAACCTGTGTAAAAAGTAGAGAGATATGGAGGGGTTTATTATGATGAAGATGAAATAAATTTTTTGTGTTTTGTCATAATAAGTGAAAACTTGACTTTTTATTTTGATATTGCCCTAATCTCTGGTTAGGCCGTGCCGCGTGCGGCTGCCTTCGACTCCGCCGGTGCTAGCGCACTGGAGCTGCGAGGCTCCCGTACCCGCCACGGTCCACGGACCTAGTACACCCCCAATGGCTGTACTAAGTCTGGATAAGGTACACGAATTCAATGGTTACATTATAGATGTATAACAGTGATTTATTTATTGAAACATAAGTAGGAAACAAGATTTGATTTAAAAAAAAAAAAAAATGTGTGACATATGCATGAAATATTATTACTTACAAACATTTCATCGAAAAGGTATTTCAAAAAATATATTCTAGTATAATTAAATATAATTAAATTTGAATAACAGTTACAAAATTTAATTTTGTATTTTACTGAATATTTATTTTTATTTTTTAAATTTAATTTGATTTTTGAAAATTAATATGTTGTATTTTTATTCAGTCTGAAACGCAAGATGTTATTAAATTAAATAATTGACGAATTGTCACTTATCCTGCAAGGGAAAATTAGGGTGTCGTGCGGACAACCGTGAACACACTTTTTGTCCTTATATAATTAGTGATAGTATCAGGGACAGTTTTGTAGCGGCGGTTCCTCCCGGGTACCTAAAGGTACGGTCCAAGGTAAACAAACAGGGTGGCAGGTGTTCATACGAACCCCCTCCCCTCCCCCCCGAACCCTCGGAATTTCAAACGGCCAGTTGTCCGGATTCTTTTCCACCCTCCGTTATCTACCATCTTCTCTCCAAATATCCTATTATATATATATATTCTTATCTCATCGAGTACTTGGAGGTATGTCCCTTCTTAGCTTAATTATAGGTACGGGTGGTTATCGGCCGCTGATTCGTTAAAGTCTTTTGCCCTCCATTGCTAACTTCCGTATTTGTTCTCTCCTTTCCCGAATTTATCAATCTGTGTGTTAAATTTCGTTTCAATTAAAAATACATATTCGTTATAGCTGTTTAAGATTTAATTTTTTTTTTCTGATCTTTACTATCATTTTCCTAATCATAATTTTTATGTGAGAATCAAATTCCTAAAATATCTAAATGTCTCATTTATAAATTTTTTTTAATTATAAATTTTCTGATAAACGTTAAAAATCTAAATTAGTGCCTTTTATGTAAAATTAAATTTTAAGTTTTTTTTTAATAATTTAATCACATAGTAAAAATAACATAAAATGTTAAATAAAGATTATTAACCAATTCATTTAGTATAAATAAGTATAAATATAAACTTTAATTCAATTCCTCCACTGTTGGTTAGCAAGTATTGTAATTTAATATTAGTTATGTGTTTTGAAAATATAAATAATTTTTTTCCATCATAAAGTTTGACTTATAATTGTGTGAGCCTCATGTTTTGCATTTATTTAAATTAAATTAATACTTATCTTGATGAATCGGTATTTTCCTTTTAAATTTCTGAAATTTAACTTGTCTTTTATTTTTTTCCTAGTTATTCCGATTTTTTTTTCTTCATTTCCTTAGTTATTTATTTTATTTTAAAGTATAAATACTTTGAATCAGTATTGGATTTTTTTTCGTAGCTGGCCCTAATTGTTGATTATAAATTCCAAAGAAAGTAAAATTTGAAAGAATTTATCCTTTCTCAATTGAAAATATATCTGCTTGATTGTGTAATTTAAAAGAAAAATAAACCACTAATTTATTTTTCTAATATCAAATACTTAAATTGGTAACAGATTTGTCAACAATGCAGTGTTAAAAAACTACGTTTTAACAAACTTAACAACTATTTAACTATTTTTAACATATATATTTTTTAAAACATATTTTAAGTATTGCAATTAGTGCCCTTCTAATTCTAAAGACGAATATAATTATTTTATTTCACAGAACGGTAGAATAGCTGTTTTCTGTTTAAAAAATTCACTTTCTGTTTTTTGTAAATTCATTTAAAAAAAAATTCATTTGCCGAATAATTGATGTCTATAAATTATTGGAATAAATCATAGCTCAAGACTATTAATCAGTAGTTGCTAAGGTATAAATGTTGGGCACATGAAGAATCTCACATTATTATAAAAAACATCTAAGTTCTATAAGTAGATAGTTAAAATAATACATATATTGAAAAGTTATGACAGCGATATATTATTTTATAAATTAAAAATTGGATTTTTTTTAATAATGGTATTAATACAATTAGTCCAATATTTGGTTTAAGAGTTACTATAAATGAAATCGCCGATTAGAAAACTAAAAATCCATATAAAATTATTTTATCAGATACATCCGATACATCAACTAGATTATCTAATTGAAATTGCAGCAAAGTATTTTAAACTGATTACCTGTTCTTTTTAATGAACAGATTAACAGAAAAAAAATTTTGAGAAAATTGATTAAAATTTGTACAAAAAAAAGTCAATTGATTTGTAAAATCTATTAATCGTGTGATATCAAGGTTTGATGAGGATTGTGAGATAATTATACAAACAAATAGGAACGTAAATTCTTTAAATTCGAATTCGACATTAGATTACGAATCAATTAGGCTAAATGCGTAATTATGTTAATAGTGATAATAAGTGGACGGCGGAATTCTGATGGAATAACAGATCGGCATATATTAGCTTGGAAAGATTGTCTCTAATTCGTTGAGTCAGTTTCATGAGTGTATCGTGTCTCTTCCGATTTAACAAACTGTTAATTTATGTCTGACATAATTTATCGTAATAATCCAGATTTTAGTTATTTAGGGATTTAATAAAAAATTATTCTTATAAAAAATATAATATACTATATATAATATTTAAAAAAATATAAACGACAAAAGCATCACAAAATATTTTCAATAAAAATAACGCTTTTTTTTGAGTCTATAAAATTTTTTAGAAATCGTTTGGAATACAGAAATAGATTGTATAATTTCTTTATGATTAGAGATAATATTTTCGACCTTCATGAATTTTAAAATTCTCTATACATATTTTACATAAAATTCTAAGAAGATAATGCCAAATGGAATAAAATTAAGAAAAGAAAAACTTTAAAACATTCAAACAATAGTTGGACAATAAAAAAAAGTATGAAGCATATTGACAATAAAAATTTAAATAAATTAATTTTCTCAGAAAAAAATATAAACCTGTGAGAATTTCAAAATAGAAAATATAATGTTTGAATCCATGAATATTTATGTAATTACAATAATGAATATAAAATACCAATTACTGTTCTTACAGCTAGGAAATATCTTTTCTTACGATAAATATATATTTATGATTTTTAATAATGTTTTTTACTACTTTTATGTTAAAAAATGAATATAGTTTTTAAAATAATAAATACTATTAAATAATAACAACTAATAAATTACATTAAACTCATTATGTATTTCTGCTTTCTTCTTTTGGTGCAAAAAATTTCGTATAAAATTTCCCAAAAATATTTTTTTCGACAAAACCACAAAAAGCGTTTCCTATTTATAAATAAATAATAAAACAATTTATAAAAATAATTAAAAAATAATATTTTCTTGAAATGGTTCGAAAAAATTAAAACTGAACCACACCAAAATTTACACAATTTATCCAAATATCAAAATATATTTATATCAAATAAAGTAAATTGTTAACATAGACGGCAGGTCCCATTTTTATATATCTACTGTTTAGATTTTAAAACGGCCTTATGGTAATTTTTAATATAAAATTTGTTCTCATCTTGTTATTTACGGAACTTTATATTTCAATTAACAATATTAGGTAATGGGTTAATCAACATTTATCACCTAATTGATTATTTTTTAAAATAAATTAATTTATATATTTTTATGTTCACTGTTTAACCATAAGCTGAGTATGCATTCAATTAGGGACAAGATTATTTGTTTTATTATTCTAATCGTTAATTTAAATAGATTAGAAAAATAATCATGGTAAGATCATGTATGTTTACGATGGATTAATAGAAAATAATTAATTAAAAAAAAATATTGAATATGAAACGTAAATAAAATTCGAATCATTTTCCACCTTTTGGAGTTCGTATTATTCCTATGTATGCCCCTTTAAGAAAAATAGTTCGAATAAATCATATTTGATATTTTTGTTTTAATATATGACAACAATATTTTGTTACGATAAATTATATTTCATTGGAATGGTGCAGTGGAATAAGATATTGTAGAAACGGTCTAGAAGTTCATCTTAGGAATTCTCAAGCAACCCGTTGTCAAGGTTAACCTTCTCTCAACGATGTAGTTTTTCTTTCTTTTTTTTTTCTTTTTTTACGACCACAATTCTGAGGAGGAGTGAACAATCGAATTCTGTCCTCCGTTTATTTATATCGATTCCATCATTCTTTTTGTCGATTATAGTGGAGGAGTAGATTATAGTTAAAACGGGAGTCTAAAAAAAAAAAAAAAATTATCAATAGGCAAAAAGTTTGAAATATCAGAAGATCTATATTTCAGATATAATCAGGCGTCTAAAAGCGAAGGAATTTCTAAATTATAAAATTATGCCCTGTATTAACTTTGTGGTTGACTGAAAAAATAACTGAAATGTTGTAAAATAAATTGTGGGAAGAAACGCTCTGTTTTCTGGAGATTTTCTGGAAGAGAGACAAAAAGTCAACATTATTTCCAGTTCCAACATACAATATTCCAAGCTCTCAATTGTTGATTTACAGACTTGAGGATAAGAAAATGCCGAGATTTTCCTAAGATATTAAGTGATGAGACCAAGTCCGGATGTTACTTGAACTGTTAATATGAGACTTAAATTTGCGGGAAACCTTATCTTTTCATCCTTTCTGCATAAACATTGTACTGTTAAGTTACTATCGGAGAATATTTAAACTAAGAAAAATGTGGTTCAATTAAAATAATGTAAATATTATATTGTGATACATGATATTTGGTTAAATTGAGAATTACTAAGAAATATCAAGTTGCGCAAAATAGTAAAAAAAGATTATAAGGATGCTATAGATATTTAGCAAAATGAATGTGTAAATTATTAGATCCTACATCGGGTATAAACCCGATTATTATTATTTTCATTCATCGAGTCAATTTCTGATTTCTAGAGTTAATTGTTAAGAAGAAGAATAAGTCATTGCATCAATCGAAATCCTCCCCCCCTTTTTTTTTTAAACCGACGTGGTTGAAGTTAACTTATGTTATAAATAAATCTATGTCGAATCAATTGGTGGTTCTGTCCCAATAAAATATTCGTCCTCCATCTTATTTATAGCTTATGTTTTATAAAGAAAATTAAATTCGTATTTATTTATTTTAAATTTTAAAAAGTGACTTCCATAAAATTAAAATGGCGTCTCAAGTGATAGTTAAGATGACTGTTAAAAAGAAAAAAAATCAATACTGGTTTAGGCATAAATTTATTTAATTCTGGCAAAATCAGTAATAAAATCGTTTAGCGCACAAATAAAATTTTTATTTTAAAATTGATTAAAAGTACCGCCACAATAACATTAATTGGATGATACGGCAGGATATGGTATGATTAAAAAATTATAAAATATAATAAAACAAATATTTAAAAGTGACATTGATTGTCAATAATATATTTTTAATAATAAAAATGAGAATTTATCTAAAATGGTCAAGAAAACCAAAAAATTATTTTTTAATTTGCACACAACTTCCCGGAAAATTCAAATTTATATCAGTGCATAACTTCAAAATTTAATTTGACATCTGACATAGTAAAAAATGGATAAAACGTTTAACACATTTCATTATTTATTGTTTTTTTTTATTTTGTTTCTTAATTTATTATTAAACTATTTATGACTTTTTTTATTTTAAGGTTATTTAATTTGATAAGTAGTAAATATTAAATTAATTTATATAATGAAAATAATTTTATATTAAATTATATAAGATTTATCAGTTATGAAAATATTATTAAGTACTTCTTATAATAAATTTTCCCTAAGTAAAAAATTAAAAAAATCAATGAGTAAGTAAAGCAAATATATCTTATTTGAATTATTTATTTTTAACGAAATAACAACATAATCATGTTTATTTTTTATTGTTTATTCACATATTTCTAAAAAAAAATAATTATTTATTCATACATAACATTTGACTGATGTATGAAAATATGTGTTAGCATATTTTATTATTTCATTCAACTAAATAATAATTTATTATTGTACCATTTTCCTATCCATATGAATATTTTGGGAGTGCATTAATATGAGTAAATCTTTTTTAAGTATAATAATATTTTGTAATACCAAATATTCTTGATTAAATTAATAACATATAATTAATAAATAGATTTCATTAATATTCAGGATAAATTATTTATTTGAAGCAATTTTCTATGACGTTTAGTAGAAATAATAAGAATTACTATTTCTGCCTTGAAATGGTATTAGAAAGATATATAGATAGAAAATAACTATATTTTGAGACAAAGCTCCTTGACAATAACAAGATCTTATAAAAATAAAATATTACTTTTAGGCTAAGTTTTAAAACAATAAAAAATAATAATAATAACATAAGAAAAAAATTCATCATGTGAACATTCTATGTACAAAACAAAACACAACTAAGTACAAATCACATAAAAATATATATAAATATAAAGCCCTTTTTAATTAAACCGAGAAAATAAATAAATAAAAATTGATGAATTGATGGTATCTAATATAATAATGTTTAATTAATTAATAAAAGTCAATAAAAATGTTTAAAAATCAGAAATCTATCAAAAATAATCTTAAAATAGCTTTTGAGTAGTTAATGCTGCGTTAAGTACTTGTTAATACCTAAGAATAATTATTAATTAAATATATTCTTTTCATCATTATTTCCAATATATTTCGCTACTGCTATTGTGCTTTTTTTGGGGTGGCTTATAATGAAATATTCTGGCTTCCTTGTTTTTTTGTTTTTTTCCATAATTTACCTAAGGAATGGTATATAACACTCAGAATGTTATATTGTATTCGCGGTTTATTTGATGTTTTTAGTAAATGAGTCCCTACTAATTAATGTTGCCCAAATGCGAGACCGAGACGAGTCTTGTTCTTGCAAACTCAGTCTTGGTCATGGTCTTGGTCTTGCGCAAGAGTCTCGCAACGGTCTTGCAGTTTCTTATTAGCTTATAACTATAGAGATATTATTGTAATTTTTTAAATAGGGGAAACCTAAGTAAGCTCGAATGAAAAATTATAGGAGTTAAATGCAAAGGTATATTGGTTATACCAATTATTAACGTATAGTAATTAAGATTTTGAAGTATTAGTAACTATTTTGCCTTAATGTTTATTTAAAAAATCGATTTTTTCACCAGTCCTGGTCTTGGTCTTGCAACAGTTAGGTAGCTTTGGTCTAGGTCTTGCAATGCGTAAGACCAAGACTGATTTTGGGCAACACAACTACTAATTAAATTTCTGTTCTGATATTGCTAAATTAATTTTTTTCGTTTGATGTTATTGATCGGTCTCCTTGAATAATATTTTATAAGATTGTAATTTTTGATAAAATTCCTTTAATAACGTAAAAAATTGTCACTTCGTAACTGAGTATGTAATTGTAGAATTTATTCTATTATTTTAAAGTTTGAGGTAATTTAACAATTGTTATTCTCTGTATGTAGACTTTTAAGAACTCCTTGACTTGGTTTACTCATAATCTTGTCATTATGTTTATTATTTTATTTTATTTTTATTTATTATCATTTTATTTTATTTGTTTCATTAGTTCCTTATATCTTGAAGTCAAATAAAATATTTTTTATAATCCACGACCATTTCGGTATTTCAGTATTTTCAATTATTCAGGAATTCATGTTTTTTTCGATCCTATTATCAAAATTTTTTATAATCACTATCATGCCGTGTTCAGAAATTTTAAAGGAATATTCCAAGATTCTGGATTTTCGTAGGATATTCTTCTCCGAACAATAAGGTTCAGCTCCAAAGGGAGTGATGGGACCCCACTGAACTGGGGAGCTAAGGCAGGTGCGGTCAGTCCGTTAACTTATGTCCACTATAGACATTGTATATGTATATATATATATATATATATATATATATATATAAAACCACAAATACACATATGTTTTGATACTGGCAGGCTGACAGCGCATACTTGTGCCAGGATAGTGCACCTGTGCCGTCGGTACCGTTTGATTTTTTTACATCAGCGAGTACATATATCTCCTCGGAGGAACCGAACACCCCGTTTTTTTTTCGGAATTTTTTATTTTTTGGTTTTATACGGCTCTCTACCTAAAGCCTCCCCTAGATCGGAGATAGCGCGGCCATACCTTTGGCCCGGCAAAAACTGCCCAACTCTTTACCCGGATCGTTTCCCGATGTTAGAAATCGCGGCTGGAGTTCGTGTATAATAACTCAGGAAAAAGAAAATAGTTTATTATATAAAAATTAATAATTACATTCCCCTAATATCTATACATATGTAATGTATGTAATAAATATGTGAGATTATAAATGACAATGACATTTCCATTAAAAATTCGTACTGCATATCGTAATCAATCAATATAATATTATGTTAAATACTAAATTTCCTTCAATTCTTTTGTATTACGATAACATTCATGTATATAATTTAATTAAATGAATGATAACAGATACTATCATAGTTGTAGTATAAATACTTTTTTTTTTTAATTTAACAATATCTGAAGCTTAAATGCATTGATAAGGAATTAAGAATTAGGTTATGGAAATTAAATAGTTAAAAATTAGGGCTTTAAATTTTATTTTTAATCAGTTATGGTACGACAGGGTTGCTTCTTTTCAATTTTATTTCAGTTATTTTGGAACATTTTCCTTTGCAACATTTATAGTAAAGGCTTTACAAAACTTTTATTTAAGAAAAATATATATTTAAAAGTTTTGTAAAAGGCTATCTAAAAAAAAAGAACTATAATCCAGGCCCAATTACTGTTTATTTCTCATTCAGCTTAACTTCATTTAAGAACTTTTTTTATCATGAAATTTACAACTGCATAAGAATAAATATACACCAAGTAGATGTGAAAAAGTGTAACGCAATTACACATGAAATGACATGCAGAGAATCTAATAAACTACTCAGATATTGTATCTAAATTGAGAGATGGTAAGACCATCTTGTATTTAAGAACTGAATTAAATAAAAGTTAAACTTTTACTTAAACTTAGAACTTTATTACAAACTAATTCTGTATACATTTTTTTTCTTAAAACATTTAATGTTAACATTCTTAAGTCTTAGAATGAAACTTTTCAAGAAATTTCAACCTCCGTTCAAAATTGATAGATTTACTGAAATTTTATAATTGCCAACTTAATCATTTTCCTTTTTTAATAATTTCAGTAATATTATTGAAAATGGAGAATCCGATTAAATTTAGTTTTTATTACTTATTTATTTTGAGGTTTAATTATATCTTTAATCTGTAAAATTAAAAAAAAAAAAGTTAATATATTCCTTTACTTTTGGAGTTATTGAAATATTTCATAATAAATTAATATCTAAATAAATAGTTTTCTTAAAAGGCTTATTATTATTTTCCATCTTGAAACGGATTCATATGGAATTAGGAGTGAGATTTTAGAATACGAAATCTTAAACATTTTAAGCATTGGTCAATTTTTTTGCATTTTTAATGTTTAGCTACCCATAGGATTGTTAAATTAGTTAATTATATTTAATCGAATATAATGATTAACTGAATCATTATTTCAGGAACACTGTAGGTGTATTTTTATAGGTTTTTAGTTGAGACCTGTCCTAGAACACATTACATAAATATTGTAAAAATATATTTTTTGTGCTATATATTTTTCATGCACTTTTAATCGAAGAGCATTTCAGTACAAAGTAATTTTCTATGGTCTTCAATATTGTAAAAGTGTCACATGTGTTTTTTTTTTTTTAAAGTAAAGATAATAAACATTCTAATTATTATTTGCAATTTATTGTATGTATTTTTTGCCAAGACTCATAGCCGTTGGGTTAGTATTTTTATTGCTATAGTTTCATTGGTAATTAATATGATGTTCCAGTAGTCTTTCCATAATAATTAATAAAAAATAACTCAAAAAGGCTTAAAAAATTATAAATATAACCGTATATATTCAAATCGAAGTCCACAAATTGAAGTTTACCAGTCGTTGTTTTGACATTTTTAGTATTACAACTTGATTTTCAAGTCACCATCGAGATAAGAAACACATTGTTTTCAAGTATAATCTTTTATGAGATTTAGTTACTTTAATTTTTTGAGATTTATTTAATTTGTCAACAATAGCTTCATTCTAAAATAAATTTACAATAACTATAAATTATTTAACAATGATACATTTTGATCTAGAAAATTTGATAAATACTTTATAACTTGGTACTTAATAGAGCATAGAGCACAATATTTTATTTTATGCTTATATTATTTTATTCTTATTAATTTATTTTTATGTCAGCTTTCGATTTTAAGTATTCCATTGCGGTGTTGCATTAGAACATAGCTGTTAACTTTTTTTCTGTAAGATAATACTACCTCTTTCATTTTTCAAGTCTTATGTTGATACTTGTTACAGTATATTATACTATTATTGTTAATGTATCACATACTATAATTGTGATAGAATAATGTAAACTATCTCTTAGATTAGTAATAAGTATTAGGACCCTTATTTTAAAAATATAATTCTTAATTATGTTTATGAATAATAATTATAAGCATACTTATTTTGTCATATTAATGAAGTCGGAAAAAGTTATACAATATTTTAAAATACAATAAGTTAATGGTTATATATAAACATCTAAAATAATTTGAGAATTATTATAGGCCCCTATATAGAATTTTTAATTCGTTTCACATTTTTCAAATATTTTACAAGTCTATACATGTGACAGAAATTTGAGATTATAATAAGTAACAAATAACAATAAAATTATATATATATATATATATATATATATATATATATATATATACACACGTGACTTATAGCATTATATCTGTGATAAATTTTACAAGCAAATAGAATAAATGCAAAGACATTTAAATTATTATTATCGAATGCTCAAATGAATTTTTATCAGGTCGTGAAGTATTACAGTTAGTATGAAAAGAAATTGTAAATACAAATTTAAATCAATCCAAAAATATTTAGAGGTTAATTAATGAAAAAAGAATAGAGAGTCAAAATTTAAATATTCAGGTATAATTATATGTAGATAAATAGAATGCAGGTGTAAATAGCTATCACTTGAATTGACTCTGAATCAACACGATAAATGCTAATTTATTTGATATAATATTTACGATATTTAAATTTTCTTAATGACCAATTTGTAATGATTCTTCATCATTCAATAATTGTTTCTTTCGTTTATTTATTTTAAATTCTATCTTCATACTTAATATAACATAAAGGAATAGAGCAATGTTTGTTTTAATAAAAGTTTCTTTTTAAACCAAAATAGTGTCCTACGAATGTTATGTCGGAATTTCATCCGCTGCACCTAAGATTTGTTAACTTAAAAAATAATAATATATTACTAATAATAATATCAATAGCTTCATATTCAACTTTTGGAGTAAATAAATATATTGTCCGAATAAATAATCCTGAACTGGTATATTTTGCAAAGCTCGTGTCTTTTAGCCCCATTCCATTGTTAAATTTTATAAAGAAAAGTCCAAGTATTTTGTAACATAAATAAATTTATAAAAAATAAAATTTAAACTATAAAATCGATACCTTATGGCTAGTTGAAGTTTAAAAATGAAATAATTTGCATGGTGTGAAACATGACGTCAAGTACGAAGTGGGACTCGCTGCCATTTTGACATTGTTTTACCACATTTAGATATTTCTGACTTTTAATGCCAATGGTCATATAAATTTTTGATGTTAATCTGAACATATGTTACTGAATTTAAATTATATCTGACATGGTCTTTTGAATCAGTGTGTTGAAATTAAAAATAAATAATTTCATCATTTTTAAATTATAGACCTTGTCCAATTAGTGATCAGCTAGTAGTAACTGTCATGTAAATAATATATAATTACATGTAATGTAAATGCATTCAGCTAAATATTTAAATTACTACTATAACCGTCCAAAAACTTATTGATATTGAGGTTCTCTATCAACTATTATAGGATAGCAAAATGAGCACAATTAATGTGAAATTTTCAATATTCTATCAGAAAACTACAAAATTAAAAATAATATTATTGCCTATTCATACGCAAATAATTTATGCGTCTAATGGTCAATACAGATGTCATTTATAGTTTTATTTTTTTTATTGGGTTGTTATACAATAAACTAATTATTTTATACATTTTTATTTAAAAAATAATTAATTAATAACATTTATACTTTGTAGGAAATTTAATCTCTTTTTAAACTAGCTTCGGGAAATGTTGTCGTATTCAAATATTCTAAAAAATAGCTAGAGATAAATATGTATTTTTAACACATTTTCCAAAATATAAATAAATAGAAATATCTTGGTTAGTACTCGTCTGCACAGACCGAGGTGGATGTGCTTTTGGCCTGATGCCCTCCCCCCCCCCCTCCCGAAATAGTAAAATATAACCATTTCTTATGAAAAAAATATCTCTAAAAGTATTATTGTCCGTATAATTACATTTAAACATTTAATAGGACTTCAAGAATCACTTCAAAACCGATTAATATAGGAATAGTTAGTTTCTTTCAAAATAATTATCATTTCATTTATATATATATATATATATATATATATATATATATATATATATATATATACACATTTCTTCTGTTAATTGACGTTTCGATCCCGGTATTTTCTTTTTATTAGTCAACCATGGGATCCTCTTCGAAGCTAGAATTTTAAAAAATAGAGCTTCGATCAGGCCAGGGACACACCGACAGTCTCAGCACCGTCCACTAGCACATATATTAAGCTACTCTTTTAGATAAATAATTGTTGAAGCTTGTTCTTCAACGTGAGGTTATGTCACAAGGTTTATCAATATTTTTATTTTCTGTTTTATCTTTTTTCAATCGAAATGGTTATATATTGTAAAATAAACTTCAATCTTACTTTAAATAGAAGTTAGGAAAAAATAAAGCTTAAAACTCAAATTTGCTTTCTTGAGTTAACGATCTAGGAAATCCTTTACTGAGTAAAAGATACGAATTTCCATTTACAGCTATACTGAAGTCCTTAGCTTAAAACATTCAAAATTATACAAAGTTTTTATTATATCATTCGGCATTTAATTTTATTTTTCTGTTATCCACGTCATTGTGTCAACTCACTGTTCAGTTAAAAAACAAGCGTTTAAGCGTTTTCATTAATTTCATAGAAGTTTTAGAAGACTTTAGATATGATCTAAATATTATCTGCCCAATCGCTTAAAAGATAGAACAGATAGATTACAGATAGAAGTTGTAAACTTCTAATTGTATTTAGAAATATTTACAAAAGAATTGTATTTAAATTTATATAATAGAAATTATTTTAAAAGTATTATATTTGATATAAATGCAAACATTTAATTAATTACTTGACATATATTATCAAAAATCAATTTTATTGATTAATATTTTTCATCGGAAATTTAATTTAATGTACAAAAGTAATAATTAATTATGCTAAAGAAGATTATTGCATCTCACGGATCCGTGGTATATGATAAAATAACAAATTAATAATAAAGTATGATTAAAATTTACAATAATAATAGATCTGAAGGAAGTATAACTTACTAGTATTTTAATTCAGCTTGACAGTATAACTTATATAATATGCAAATTAATATATATTTAACTGATGGTAGAAATAAATAATTATTCTTAGTGTTGTCAGTTTATGATTTCGGATGTATAAGCATATTTTAAAATTTGTATAGTGTAGACGGTGAAACCTCATAATATATACCGAAACATATTATTTCAATATTTTATTTTTCTAAAGTTATCAGTAGAAATTTCGAAAGATTTTATATCAATTAATTTATATTAATTAATAAAATCTTCCATCACCCACTTTATCTGTCATACTTTGAATTAAAACTTTTCCTTTTAATTTACCCTATGCCATATTTTTTATGACCACACAAGAGTATGGAAATGCCTTAAATAAATATAAGAATTATTTTAAAAAGTATGCGAAAAATATTATACTTTTTTTATAATTTATAACATTTTTATAATAACCTTATAAACAATTTTTATTATTTTATTTTGTGATACTTTGATAATGTATTACTCACTTAATTTCACATGTAATTAATACGTTGTAAGTACAATCGAATATTGATTAATAAATTTAACTGGAGTTCTGACACTTTCTTAAAATTATTAAACGAATCAGATGATCACTAATAGAAATACATTGAAAAGGGCTTAATAAATGTGATAACTCAATACGAAGTAATTACAATAAACTAGAAATCATATTCCTATATGAACCGACTCATGAACTATTAGCATTAGAAATGAACCGCTGGGACATACACTCACATACACAAACACAAAATACATACACATACACACTCACACAAAAGTGAACCTCATGAGATTTCTGACCTCAGCCGAACAATGAGCATTGTCTTCGGCCATTATCGACTCCCGAGACTCTGTGTGGAATTATCGGAGGTTCTTTTTTAATTTTTTTTTTCTATGTCAGTCGTTTACTTCTGTTTATAATCCATTGTCTTATACTGAAGAAAGAGTGGCCCGCGAGTGGGACGAAAATTGAAATGAAGAAAGATTGAAAGGTATTCTTTTTATATGGCGGCTAAGTTTTATATATATATATATATATATATATTGTTGCTTCATCATGATATAAGTATCGAGTTTCATTAATAACTTCAATCAGTGATATTAGAAATATAAATACATTTTTTTATCTTTTCTCCACGATGTCATATTCCACAAAAATTAAATATAATGAGAGGTCAAGCTTGTAAAATAATTAATCATAAATAAAGCAATCTTTATAAACATCGCCCTAGCTCTATAAAACTGAAATATAATTTAATTTTTTTAGATAATTCAATCATTATTAGCATTAATAAAAGTATGGGACAGCTTAAAATCTAATAAAGTGAGATAAAGGATCTGGAAAACCATTATAAAAACATCTAACAAAGAAACAAAACAGAAAAAAGAAATAGATAATGGAAACTAAATATAATACAAGTTTATGAATTTTTTGAAAATTAATTTCAAAATAAACGTTTATGTACGTTTAAGTGCTAGTATTAAACTTGGGCAAGAAAGAAAATAGATAAAAGGAAATGAGTAAATATTTAATTGTAAACGAAGTAATGAATAGATTTCATTTAAAATTGTAAATATTACCGGTAAAGTATAAAAATATAAGTAAGAATAAAAAAGTAAAATATATTAGGATATAAATCGTAATACATAATGGTGGTAACTCTTGAATCTTACTCTAATTATGGAATAGAATATATTTGATTAAAAAATATAACAATAATAAATTTAATGCAACTGTTTCGTTATAATATTTAGTATTAAGATTGCATTCGTGGTATTCATTGGAACACATTTTTAGTTTTAGAAAAATAATCAAAAGCAGATTAAAATAAAAAAAACATCTTAATTCATTAGAATTTGGAAAAAATAAATTAACCTATAACTCGTGAGACTTATTTTATTTGGATCATGATAGGGTTTAATGATAATTGGTTTGAAAATATTTTAAGGTTAAAAGAAACCACTTGAATTTTTCTAATGGGTCAGGTAGTTCTACTTTTTTTTTTTTTTTTTTTTTTTTAACGACATTTCATTTCTCCATCATTCAATTTTCTCAAATATATCAGTTTTCATCTTTCTTGAAAGCACTTATAATCTTCGTATATTATGAAGAAGAAGCTTGTCATTTTTTTCTCTACCTCAATTAAAAAAGTTCATGTAAAATTTTCGAATCAGTGGTCAGAACATCTTGCTACAGAAGCCTGTGTTATAAAAAATAAACACCCTATAAAAGAAATTCTGTTATAAAAAAAATATATATATATTTTTACCTGAAATAAAAAGTTCGTACAAAACCTTCTCGGAATCTACGGTCAGAACATGCTTCTCACTAAAGATTCTATAAAAAAAAAGAAAATAAAAAGAAAAACACAAGACCAAACATGTATATTAAAAAATCTAAAAACATTACTTTTTAATTTTTTTTTTGCCGTAATATATAATATTCCTGAAATGTATGAGTTATAATTAAAATTTAATTTGCAATATTATTAAATCAGATGCCGTTGATACCAGCTAGATATCTTATTTATCTTGACGTTTCAAAATCCAAAGTATTATTATTATTTTTTTTATGGACAGTTGATTGAATAGTAGATCTATATTTTTATTTAATAACTTGTATTTAATTAAATATGAAAAAATTTACAATTTGGCACGTTAAATTATGAGGCAGATCAAATGTTTCTGTAAACATATAATTAAAGTTATCTTTAAGAGAAGAAATCCTTTAATTTTGTAAAATAAAATCCTTTAATTGAAAATTGAATTAAAATTAAAGGATAGATTAAATGTTGTCTGAGTATCTGTCAGTTTACATAGTTCATATTTATTTAATTCCATTCACATTAATTTGTATAGTCTTTACTAGAAAACTAAAATAACAGTATCGTCAAAAATAATATTGGTTTTAAATATTATTTTGACGACAGCTGAAAATATTAATATATATCGTATATATTATATGAGGAAGATGGATATTACAGAGTCCATTTTATTACAAACATAAATATTCCTAAAAAAAATTAATAACGGTATTTATTAGAGTATAAAAAGCAATACAATATCACAATTCAGTTTATTTACGGGTATTATATCAAAATGTAATAGTACACTATTCATATTTTATTGGCTTTATATTTTATTCGAACAATAAAACTATAGTTTAGGGTTTTATAAAATATTATTTATTAAATTTTTATCTCATACACATCAGATTTAAGTTGTATAAGTGATTTTTTCTGTTAGGTACATCGAATATATTCATCTCGAATACATGGAATATATTTATAGGTACATTATGATATATTTATGTATTCTTACATATAGGTTCAGCCGACCAAAGATATGCCCAAATAATTCTTAAAGCTAAGAACTAAAATGTTAACGTCCAATGTTAAGAACTAGGGAACTCTAAACTTTTTCGCTGGCGGGCCAGATTGAGATCTACGTCCCACGGACTATGGATGGTGGTGAAAAAAAATATGTTTTTTCTGTAAATGACACTTCAGTTGTGAAATGGGCTTTCTTATAGAAATGACTTATGTAATAAATGTTGAAGTAACCTCATGTTTGAGAGATTCACTAAATTCTATATTTTTTAAATTTTACATGTTTTCCGGAGTAGTTTGGTGACCCCTGTTTTAGTCCGATTCCATACCGAAAAACAGGAAATTTAAGTTTTGTGTTTGTTTTTTTTAATCCGTCGTATATTTTGTTTAATAGGGAGCAGTAACTAAAAAATATTTTTAATGTACTTCAGAAATTACCAATGACAGTATAGCAAGCAAGACAAAGTCACATATAATGTGTCTTAGCTTAAACCGTTCTAAGGGGGATTTTAAGTGGCTAAACTACGATTTTGTTTATCAAATTCCTACGCTGCTACAGTTTCTATATTTATAGGAGTAATTCCTTGTTTGATAAGCTTTAAATCCTTGTACTCTTTTCATCCATTTCCAAATTAAGTTGAGGTCTCTAACTTAAGTTGATTTATTCTTCTGTTTTGTTAAACAATTATGTAATGGAAAATTCTGTCTCCTTCAACTACCAGCGTTTTCAGCAAAAATAACAAGTTATTTATGTGAAACATTTTTGTCTTTTTTTATTTGGCCTTAAATGCATTGTAACGAAAAAAAAGTAAACAATGCCGATTTTTCAACAAAAAAAAAAAATTATAGTTTATCATGCCAAGTGATGGCGTACCATTAATTTAAGTGAACATGGCATTTGGAAATTCGAGGATGGATGCTCTATTTCCGTATGTGAATATTATTTATATTATTAATGCAAATGAAAATGCCTGTGCCACAATAAAAAAGAATTAAAGCTACATTAAGGAAATAACGTATGGTTATTACTTCAAATTTATAAAAAAAATAATATTGGTGGTAATATTTTCATAGAAACGTTATTATAAGAAACATTTAATTCATCATTAAATACTACACTGATTAATACCCATAAATGAAATATGCTCAAAACAATTAATGTCTTAGCTTAAATCATTTTAAGGGGAATTTTAAGTGGCTAAATTAAGATTTCATTAATAAAATTCCTACTAGACTACAGTTTCTCTATTTACAGGAGTAATTCCATGTATAATAAGTTTTAAATCCTTATACTCTTTAAATCCATATCCAAATTAAGTTGAGGCCTCTAACTTAAGCTAAGATTTATCCTAATCTAAGCTGAGATTTATCTAATTAAATCATTTAGATCATAAGTTGATTGAACAAGAAAGTTTATCTATAAATGGAGAATCTGTTTTCTAGCCCGTAAAATCTGCAATAATCTATGATTCTATAAAGCTAGGCGTATTTTAGCCATAACAAGATCCTTTATAATGATTTTATTACACACAAATTATATATATTTAAGAACTACTAGCAAAATGGGTGTATGAAAGAGGGAGCTCTGATTAGAAAAAAAAAATTATGTATATGTGGATGGAATAAGCATTCAAATGATTTTCGGATGTTTGCAAAAGCTTTATGTAATTTAATAATTAATTAGTAATTTTTATAGGGTAAGAAATACTCCATTTTAATTAAAGTGAACAGAAAGGAAATATGATTTATATGAACAAGGGTAATAAAGGAAATATTTATATCAGGAATTTGGCAGAAAAGTAGGAAATTTAAGTTTTGTATTTTATAAGTAAGTCATGTTTTTTGTTGAATAGGAAACGATAACTAAAGGAATATTAAATCTAAGTAATTAACAATTGCTTCACTATGAACTAGACAACATTTTACTCTTATAAAAATCGAGTTTGTTATTGTTATAACCATTTCAAAAGTAGTCATCTTTTGTTAATCGCGATTTTATGCATATATATATATATATATATATATATATATATATATATATATATATATATATATATATATATATAAAACAATTTTAAAAATTATAAATAAAAATCGACAAATATATAGAATTTTACTTTATCACCTATCCCACAATGGGATTCCTTATCTTTCTAATTATTCTATCGCCACTTCTTATTTTTGAAAAATAGGTCGTTTTACACTAATAGGTTTTTAGGAATAAATTCGTTATTAAGGAATAGATTTATGCTATTGTAGCTGGGATAAATTCATAAATAGATTAACGTACACACAGTATACATTAAATATAATTTAAACAACTATCACTGTTCCTTACGTCGATTAATTTCATTATTTTTTTTTTGTTTTATGATTTAAAAATTAATCATTCCTCTGCATTTCGTAGAAAACTCTTCAGTAATTGGCTCAAAAGTACAAACAGAGAAACACACCTAGAAACAAAATAAAACGACAATAATATTTCTTCCATTTTATAAATGTTTC